CTGTCCGTCCGTCCGTCCATTCATCGTGCTATCGTGCTGTCTGTCTGTCTGTCTGTCCGTCCGTCCGTCCGTCCATCCATTCATCGTGCTATCGTGCTGTCTGTCTGTCTGTCTATCTATCCGTCCGTCCGTCCGTCCATCCATCCATCGTGCTATCGTGCTCTGTCTGTCTGTCCGTCTGTCAAATTTATATTCGCTAAAAATGCATACATGAGTGATTATGTTTTGTATTCATCTGAAGTGAAATTCCTAGTGTGGAAGGTCTCTCATACCTGCTCTAATTTCCAGTGGAATTCAGCCGGTCTGAAGGAGTCTGTCTGAGTGTAGTCCGTCCTCAGCATATCTTTCTGTCTGTCTGTCTGTCTGTCTGTCTGTCCGTCCGTCCATCCGTCCGTCCGTCCGTCCGTCCGTCCATTCATCATGCTATCGTGCTGTCTGTCTGTCCGTCCGTCCATGAACCTGAGAGAAAAAAAACGGCACCATTTGGTGTGCGTTTATCTATATAGAGATCCTGACAGGAGAGGATAGTCAACTGAACCGGGCTGGAAGTAGAGCTCCAATCGTCCAGTACAAATGAAATTCTGACCTTAACTGTTTCCTCTTTAACCCTGCTGAAAAGACCAACGTGAACCTCCATGTCCTGGCTGGTTTTTGCTGGTCAGTTCTGGTTTGGTGCTAGTATAGCTAGCAGATCAGCAAGGTTTTTCTGATGAAGTCTTATCATGGACTTCTTGGTGACTAAGCTAGTTATACCCATAAAACTTCCTGTGTGAAATACAAAACTTTACTTAAAGCCTTTATGTATAATGCATTATAAAGGTATTCATAATGTACGCTGTAATGCATTGTATCTGTTCATAAATAATTGTAACCAAAGTTGAAATGCATTATAATATTTGAAGGTTTGTTTGTCATGTGTATTAATGCATTATGCTTTCTAAAGGCGTAAAGTATTATAATATATTGTAACTGTGGTTACAATTATTCATGAGATCATAAAATGCATTATAAAGTGAATGAAAAGGCATTAAAACTACTTTTATAATGCATTGTATATAAAGGCTTTAATTAAAGTGTTACCAAGCTTTCTAGCAAGTCGTGTTATTATGGAAGTTATGGATTTATTTGGTGTTATTATGGGGTATTTAAATAATTCTCCCCAAATTCCTCAAGACAGTTAGAAATAGACACACATGAGTCTATAGTTGAAAAAGTAAACGTAAAGAGCTAAAGTTATGTGGATAGCAGCTTAGATCATTTGGTCTTCAAACTTCAAAGAATTTGATGAGAAATTAGTTCTTATAATTTCTATAATGAATTATGAAAATAAATAATATATTCTACAAAATGTTATTTTAACAAATATACTTAAATTTACTTAAACTTAAATTATTGAGATCTCTAGAGTTTATTGGACCTTATTCTTTAGGAGATGTATCTGGGTGGTATGAAAGTCTATTATGCTGTATAGGAGAAACAACAGAGATCTCATTTGTAATGGCAGGATCCATACGCTGGTCTTTTAAACAGGTTTCTCCTCCCGTCTGCCCTCTTCTCATTCAGTTCTCTCTCTGTCTCACCTGTTTTGTCAGAGTTGCAGAGCAGCGTTTCTTTCTCGGCTCTCTGTCCTGGACTCGGTCCGTGCTTCATCCATGTGGTTATGGTGAACTGATGGGTTAGATTCTGCGGGATGACCCAGTCTGGGATCTTGGCAGCTTGACGGCCATCAAAGCGGTATGTGAGGTCACTGTCCCGGCCGCCATCCGCCACAAGAGTCGCCGTCCAATTAAAAACACCACTGGGGGCCGGCAGAAGATCTGTGCTGCCTGATGAAGCTCCTGGTATGTTGCCGTGGCGATAAAATGATAAAATTATCATTCGAAACACAGATCACAGTTGTGTTTCACCAGTCTCTTTCACATGACTCATGCTTCAAATGCACCTCTTAGGACAAGGGTGGAGGTTTTGTCTGACTAGTTTAGCCCTCAGGCACATTTCATAATTAAACCGACCCAAGAGAAATGAGGAAGCGCACAATAGAATAAATAGCTGTTAATCATACCGCAGAGCTTCTGTAAGGATCGTTCAGAGTAAGACTGTCTGTCACAGCCTCTCCCAGCACTGCTCGTCTCCAGCTCCACTGTGGTCCTGATCCACGACACCGATCCCACACACGTCTCCAGGTGCATCTTGGGAAATAACGGCTTACTACCCGTTCCTGGTTCATAGTCAATGAGCTTGCTCCAGCCTGGAAAGAAAGAAAGTTAGGAAATGTTTTGATAAGTAGCTTAAATATTATTGCATATTTTGTCTAGGACTGAATTGGTAATGTTGCAAATGTTGGAATTAAGAGTTCTTTTATGAATTTTTTTAACTGTTAAAAAGGCCAGGAAGGACCAGAGTTTATATTGTTGAAGTTTTTATGGCTACAGTTCTGCTGAAGAGAAGATCTTGCGTAGATCATGATGAGTAGATCTTGAGAAGATCATAAACACTTGCTTTAACAATTGACTAAAATAAAAAGTATGTACTTATTCACTTAATTTTACTTAGTTAAACTGGTTTTATGTAATTCCATGCATGACATTTACTTATATTTGTAATTTTAATAAAAATGTACTTGATATATAGTGAGTAGGTCCCTAAATATATATTAAATATAATAATAAATATTCAGCACCCCCCTTAATGTAAGTTTGTGGTAATTTTTGGAGCACAAATATGACAAGTAGCAAAAAAAAATGTTAATGTGACTAACTGAATAAGCCCATTTGTTTGTTTTTTAATGAAGAAGAATCGTATTTTCTTTTTGTTTTATTCAGTTCTGATTTGTAATATATTTGAGGTTTGTTACCCAGAGCTCTTAATGTGTCTGGCGAGATATCACATTTTTCAGGCTACATTGTGGCTGTAATGAATTCTATAGCCAGTGGTTATTTAACGTGAAGTTATGGGTGAAGAATTAAAACGGCGGACAATATTAAATGGATTGTGTAAACATGCATTCACATACAGACCACACAAATATTAGCTCACACACACTTTGAGCTGCTGAGTTTGGAAATTTGGAGCTGAAATTATTATTTTATGCATGGAGGGAGCCTAAAGGTAACAACAAAATGTGTGTGTGTGGACGGTGCATGTCCACCCCTGCTGAATTATTCACCCTTGCTTACGTATGAGACACAACGGGGAGCTGTTTACTTTTCTCTCTCCTTCATGCTTTTATGTCAGATGTGAAAAAATGGCCTTGACTCAAGTTGTAATCATCCAGTGGGCTGGAAAAAAAACTGGCCTGAAGCTTTGACCAAATTCGTGTGTGTGAGTAAAGAGGAACATTTTTTGAGTCTCCAAACTCACCTGAGGGACAGTCACATCAGAGACACATCAAAAGTGCATTCTGGGAGACACAGTCTACTTTAGACCAAAAGTTTACTTGATTTTATCCAGGGAATGGACTGGATGGTGAAAAAGCAAACGAAGGGGTTTTTATGACATTAGGAGACAAGGAAAGTTGTTTGAGGGGATTTTAATTAAAGTTTTAAACAAATTTTTTTTTGCTTTTGGAATAACATGCACAAATGAATTGTGCATAAACAAGTATTAAAGTAAGAGTTCACGAAAAAATTTGACCCTGGACCACAAAATCATAAGGAATAAGGGTCAATTTTTCGAAATTGAGATTAATACATCATCTGAAAGCTGAATAAATAAGCTTTCCATTGATGTATGGTTGGTTAGGATAGGACAATATTTGGCCGAGATACAACTATTTGAAAATCTAAATACTGCAAAAAAATCTAAATACTGAGAAAATCGCCTTTAAAGTTGTCCAAATGAAGTTCTTAGCAATGCATATTACTAATCAAAAATTAAGTTTTAATATATCTACAGTATAAAATTTACAAAATATCTTCATGGAACATGATCTTTACTTAATGTCCTAATGATTTTTGCCATAAAAGAAAAATCATTAATTTTGACCCATACAATGTATTTTTGGCTATTGCTACAAATATACCACAGCGACTTAAGACTGGTTTTGTGGTCCAGGGTCACAAATGTACATTTTGTCACCATTTAAAGCAGTATGATATTTTGAAGAATGCTGACAAAAAAACAAAAAAAAAATTTCACAGGAGAAAAAGTCATATGAGTCTAATAATTAAAATAAAGATTAAATCAAATAAAATGTAAATATTATATGGAAAATTAAACAAATGATATTGATGGAATGCTACAGAAAATTACAGAAACTAAAACATAAAATAATAATAATAATAATAAGTATGAATTCAAATAATATAAATTAAGGCTAAACAGAAAAAAATCACATAAAATTACTAAAACTTCAACTAAAATGAAAATGAAAACTGAAAATATAAAAATAAAAACTAATAAAAATAATAATAAATAATACTAAAATAACACTGATAATTATTTAAAAATCATATTCAAATAACTTTACAGCAGTCCAGCTGTACAGTCTCATTAAAAATGTACACAACTGTTATTGTTGCAGTATACTTTCAAAAGGTGCTATTATGTACTTTAAAAGTATTAATATGTACCTTTAAGGTACTAAAATGTATCATTTAGTGGTAAATGAGCTACGAAGATGTACCTTTTAGCTTTTGTACCTTAGGGTGCCGGGCCACTGACGGCCTGTACCTTTTTTCTGAGAGTGTACAGAAAACACTGAAGAATTTAGTGAATTAGCTTCCTCAAAATTGCACAAATTGGTAACTTGTAAATATGACTTTGTTCCCTGGTTGACCACTGAATCCTGACCATTTTCATGTGCAAAATGCATCCGAGATGAAAACATTTCCAGATCTTACCCTGCCATCCAGGCTTGCAGATGGGTTTGACATGGATGTGTACGACAGCGTCCTGCGCTGCTCTCTTCTGACCACAGTCGAATGCTGTCACATGGATTTTATAATGTGATTCCTTATCAAAGCTCAGGCTCTCTGTGTTCCTGATGTTACCTGCACATAAACACACACACATTTAAATACCGACGACAGCAAAGTGCTGTTTGCATGTGTGAATGTCTATTGTACGTTTGTGTGTGTGTGTGTGTGTGTGTGTGTGTGTGTGCGCGTGTTTGTGTGTGCTGACCGTTGCGGTCTATAGCGAAGGCTGTGTCCTGAGAGGTGATCTGGTAGTTGCAGATCTGGCTGTATTGTGGAGAGCAGTCCTGGTCTGACGCCTGCACCTGCAGAATACTGTCATACACTTTGCCCTCCGTCACCGAGCCGTGATACTCCAACTGCCCGAACACGGGAGAAAACTCGTTCACATCTCCCACCTGCACATGCACCACAGCCCTGAGAAAGAGAGAGAGGTTTTTATTGCTTTTTCATTGTCCAGGAGACTTCATGGAGAAAATGTACTCACCCTCAGGCCATCTAAGATGAAGATGAGTTTGTTGTTCATTGGAACAGATTTGGATAAATGTAGCGTTCCATCACTTGCTCACCAAAGGATCTTCTGCAGTGAATGGGTGCCATCAGAATGAGAGTCCAAACAGCTGATAAAAACATCACAATAATCCACAAGTAATCCACACCACTCCAGTCCATCAGTTAACATCTTGTGACAAACATCATTGATGTTTTTAACTTCAAACCATTGCTTCATGCTAAAATGCGAGTCCTCATATTATTGCCTTCTCCAGTGAAAAAGTAATCTTATCAGAATCAGGAGAGAAATATGCACAGATCAAGCACTGTTTACAAGCCAAAACAGCTCTAAACAAATATGTTGGTGGATTTTGATGTGAGAGGACAACAGAGGATGGGCTTTTTCTCTGGAGGAAGCATTATTATGGATCATGGATTCATATTTTGGCCAGAAGCAATGGTTTAAAGGTAAACATGTCTTGATGTTTTTTTTTTTTTTACTTTACAAGATGATAATTGATGGACTGGAGTGGTGTGGATTACTTGTGGATTATTGTGATGTTTTTATCAGCTGTTTGGATTCTCATTCTGACGGCACCCATTCACTGCAGAGCATCCATTGGTGAGCAACATTTCTTCAAATCTGTTCCGATTAAAAAAAAACAAAAAAAAAACATCTACTTCATGGATGGCCTAAGGGTGAATAAAGTTTAAGCAACTATTTGTTAAGTATCAACTTAGATGTCTTAGATGTTTCTGTTAAATGTTTGAGTTCATTTTTACTGCTGATTTCAGACTTTAATACTTTTGGCAAATCTGAGCACAGTTTGAGATATTGTGTTCAATTCCTCCAAAATCCAAATCCAACTTTTGTCATTTTTATTGTTTATACACACAAATACACACACACACACATTTCTACATCTTTGTTTTATATATGTTATATATTTATATATTAGTTTTAGTTTTGGCCATTTTAGTACTTTGACTTATTTTAAGTTAGTTTCTAATGTTTGCAATTTATTTTATTTCTGATTTATTTTGATTAACAAAACAATTTTTAATAGTTTTAGTTAACAAGAACAACACTGTTAAATATGTCTTTATATGCGTTTAATAATTGGGATTACATGGAGAACAATGGAGACATTTCTCCTAAGAAAAAGACTTCAGGACATGTGTCTCCTCTAGAGCAGAGCTCACTTATTTCTCTAAATGTCCTTCTCTACATATTTTTTATCAACCTATTAAAATAGCAACTATATGTCAGGTTGTGTTTATCAGGAAAGGAGCACAGTTGGCTGTATTTTATTTTGTGATTTTACTGGAACGTAGCATGATAGCGCGCCACAGTTTTGACTGCTGAGTTAAAAGCGTATTTTTAGGGGGCCTGAAATGAAAAACCGCAAACTAAAGCCCATTTAAATAGCATCTAGAATGAAACATTTTCAGGTCAACAGTCAAAAACTAATAAAAGAAGAAGTTTTTTTTTTTAAAGGTTTATTTATGGCGTTTTATACATTTATTTAGATAGGACAGTATAGGTCGACAAGAAGTGAAAAGGTTGAGAGAGATGGGAGAGAAAGGTCCAGGAGCCAGGACTCGAACTCGTGACACCTGAAGCGCAATGGCGCTGTATGTCGGTGCGTTGCCCACGAGGCCATCGGCATCGATAAAAGATAGAAGTTTTAAATGTAAATAAACAAAATAGTCTTTATAAATAACACTAAACTAACTTTTAAAAGAACTGACTAGTAGACAGCATATTTTTTATGCCATTTTGAATAAATGCTGTGTAAATCAGATTTTAAATTTTATGTTTGCCAATACAGCTGTGCTGCAGGTTTTCTTGTGATTTTTGTGTCTATAATTATATTAATATATGAGAAATGATTTGCGGTCCAGATCTGAATTAATTAGTGATCTCTGCTTTAGAGGAGACACGTGTCCTGGAGTCTTTTTCCCAGGATAAAAAGCACCAAAAAGTCTCCATTCGTTCTCCATCACTGTCCAGGAGAAGCAGCGAACATATTAAAGAGATCTCGTTTTGTGATTTCTCTCTCCTGCAGGTCATTATAAAGTCTTAGAAAAGTCTTTGGGGAGAGAAAGATATGTTTTTTAAAAAGAGGTCTAAAAGAAAAAAAGCGCCTCCAGGTATCCTCACGGCCAGTCCTGACACACTTTTGCGAGCTGAAAATACCAAAATAACAAGCTTGCATCATTCATGTCAAAGACAGAGTGACAAGTGAGTAATGCTTTGCAAAGGGCAACAGCTCGTGTGACAAATGACGGGATTACAAACACCGCTGCTAATCTGTGCTATAATGTTAAAAACCAGAACATAAGCAAACACACGTGTATATGCATTAGGCATGAAATCTCTAGTAAAGCAGTGTGATTTTGCAGCTTTACTGCCCTTTAGAGTCCAATATCTCATCTGTGTGTGTGTGTGAGTGTGTGTGTGTGTGTGTGCGTGTGTGTAGTATCGTAGATCCAAGCTGTCATAGCCGAATACAGTAATCCTGTCTGGATTAAAGAGATACAGAGTAATGAGGAAAGTCTCTCTCTCTCTCTCTCCTCTCTTTTTTCTCCACGATTTCATCACTAACCTCATTTCTATCTCACTCATTCACAAATGTATTTTTCATTTTGTTTCAAAGGACTTCGGTCTAGCTCACTGCATTAGCTCTGTTAAAGCATCTTTATATCTGCTGGTAAAGAGAAGCGTCTTTGGCTCAGTGCTTGTTTGCAGCTTTCAGTCTGCAGGTAAGCAGGTGCAGTGTTCATTATAGAGCTCTTAAAAGCTTTTAATGCCTGAAGGTCAGACACCTGCTGTTCATAGTCACTACTGAGATAGAAAACTTGATTTCTGAGTGACAGTTCAGTATCCTACAGTTCTGGTAAAAAAACTTAAAAAAAACTGTGAGGCATCCATCTTGAAATTCTGTATATACGCTAATGTAAGAATAAGAATCTTATGCTCACCATAGAGTAAAAATGTTAAATATTTTTACAATTTAAAAGAACTGTTTTCTATTTTAATATATTTTAAAATGTAATTTATTCCTGTGATCAAAGCTGAATTTTCAGCAACATCTCTCCAGTCTTCAGTGTCACATGATCCTTCAGAAATCCTGATTTGCTGCTCATTTATCATCAGTTATTATTGGTTCTCAGTTATTAATAATGGTTGTCTTTTTATCAATGTTAAAAACAGTTTTCGCTGCTTAACATTATCAGGGGGAAAAACTGCATTTATTTGAAATCGAAATCTTTTGTAACATTATAAATGTCTTTGCTGTCACTTTTGAGCAATTAAATGCGTCCTTACTGAATATTAATTTGCCTTTTTTAAACTGTACTTACCCCAAACTTCTGAATAGCAGTGTATCATGGTTTCCACAAAAACATGAAGCAATGTTTTCAACATTGATAATAATCAGAAATGTTTCTTGAGCAGCAAATCAGCATATTAGAATGATTTCTAAAGGATCATGTGACACTGAAGACTGGAGTAATGAAGCTGAAAGGATCAAAGGAATAAATTACATTTTACAGTATATTGCAATAGAAAACAGTTGTTTTACATTGTAGTTACATTTCACAATATTACTGTTTTTATGCATTTTTAATTTAATAATGCAGCCTTGGTGAGCATAAAAAATACATAAATTACAGACCCCAAACAGAATATCTCTTTGGATTTGAGACTTTAGTCTTTGCAACTTTACAGATCTTCTTTATGCACAAAGAGCTTGTAACACTCCAAAGAGAAAGGAAAAATTTAAATCGCATCATATGACCCGTTTAAAAAGTTTCAACTACCCAGTAGCAGGTGCGTGACTTAAAGGACACAAAAAAACGGTACTTCTAAAAGTAGGAAAATAAAAAATCTTCAATGAAACTGTGAATAACAGAGAGAGGTGAGTCAAGCACGGATGAATCATTTTAGAAATAGTTCACCGTGTTCCTTTCAGTTCAAAAACATCACAGACATGAATCAGACTGAGGTGGAGAACATGCATTTCTTTAAACACACACTGACTTGTGTGATCTCTTCTCTCCGTGTCCCTCCGGTCCTGTGCCACAGTCACGTGCTTGAATGATGAAGGTGAATTCTCTCTGACGCTCGCAGTCGATCGGTCCATGTGCCCGCAGACGGCCCTCTCCTGACGTGCGGTTCAGAACCACAGCCTCGAACGGAGCACTGAGACCCTGCACGTGAAAGCCACAGATTTCACCTACAGAGTGAGAAGAAAACAGATTAAGACTTCCATTCTTTTCACCAACTTTCCTGTTTGTAATCTCAGGGTTACTGCTCTTTTTAATCGCACAAAAGCCTCGCAGTGAGAAGATCTAAAAGGGGGCAAATTCTTTACTTTTCTAGCTCTTTATTGTTTTCCCTTTGTTAAATTGCCAATATAAATAGACATGAACAGCCAGCCAAAGTTTGGAATAATTAAGATTTTTTTATGTTTTTGAAAGACAGTATAAACAGAAATATTGTGAAATATTATTACAGTTTTCTACTGTAATACATTTTAAAATGTAATTTATTTCTGTGATGCAAAGCTGAATTTTTTGAATAGTCTTCAGTGTCACATGATCTTTCAGAAATCATTCTAATATGCTGATTTGCTGCTCAAGAAACATTTCTGATTATTATCAGTGTTGGAAACTGCTTCATATTTTTGTGGAAATCATGATATAATACTATTTAAAAGTTGATGGTATTTTTTGATAAAGAAAGAAATGAATAGTTTTATTCAGCAAGGACAAATTGAATTTATCAAAACTGACAGTCAAAACAGTTTATAATGTTACATAAAAATTATATTTCAAAAAAATTCTGTTCTTATGAACTTTCTATTCCTCAAAGAATCTTGGAAAAATGCATCACAGTGTCTACAAAAATATGAAGCAGCAAAAAAATGTTTTCAAGATTGATAATAATGAGAACATTATTAATAATTGAGACCCGATAATAATTAATCAGCAAATCAGCATATTAGAATGATTTCTGAAGGATCATGTGACACTGAAGACTGGAGTAATGATGCTGAAAATTCAGCTTTGATCACAAGAATAAATTATATTTTACAATATATTACAATATAAAACAGTTATTTTAAATTGTAATAATATGTCACAATATTGTTGTTTTTACCATATTTTTGATCAAATTATACTTTTCAAAAACATAAAAAAATTATAATTATTCCAAACTTTTCGACAGCGGTATAATATCTATTTGAAATATAATTAAAATGTTAGTCAAGTTGACATTGTCCCCAATTCTCATATGGAGGTGATCTTGGCTTGTAAGAAACTACCTAGCAACCACCTACAACAGCTTAGCAACCACAGAACACCATAGTAAATGGGCAGCAAGATGCTAACAGCCACCCACAATGCTGATGAGTTTTGCATGAGCAAACATCCTCACTTTTGGTGAAATCTAGTTATTAATATGATATCGTGTGTGTGTGTGTGTGTGTGTGTGTGTGTGTGTGTGTGTGTGTGTGTGTGTGTTTGTATTGCTATATTAGTGAGGACCAAAATGTGACAAAACACCTTTTAAGTGAGGACCTCTTGGTAAAGTGAGGACAAAATCGTGGTCCTCACTTTATTTTGCTCAATATAGCCCCCAGGAGGGAGGGGCATTGTGCTATGCAAATTTCTCAGATGTCCTTACTTCAATATCAGATCATGACGAAACTGTGTTTCCTTTATTCTCCTGAGCTCCCTCTAAAGGATAAAGACGTGTACTGCAGCCGATTTATTATTGGCTGGAAGAGGTGTGTGTGTTTGTTTGTGTGTGTGTGTGTGTGTGTGTGTGTGTTGTGTAAAACAGCACTGCTGTCCAGCACTGATAAGAGTATTCTCCATCTCTCCTCTCTTTGATCTTCAGAATAAACCCACATTCACCACATATACAAAACACCAGAGAGAGGAAGAGCCAAGAGATGGAGAAAAAGCCAAGAGGGTCTGGCTGCAGCCTTGCACTTGCACTCTCAGACTTGCACTCTCAGACACTTGCGCTTCTGCTAGCAACGTCACTTGCAGGCTTTATTTTTTATTTTGTTCTATTTTTTATTACTTTTTGTTTGAATCTCTCAACATTTTACAACAGTAGCCAGGTGGTGAAGACAAGAAAAAAGAAACTAAA